TAATTAATAACTTATACTTTCTCCTTATTTCTATTATAAGCTACTTAATAAGACTTATAATTAGACTTATAACTTACTATAGTAAGTTATTATAAGTATATAAAATATATTTATTAGCACTTTTATAGATTCTAGCTTACTAGCTATTAATATAACTTCTTTATATTAATTAAGCCTAATATATATTAAATCTATTATTAAGAGATATAATACTTTAATAACGCTTAGTTTATGCCCTATGCAATCTGCCAATAATAAACCCAGCACGGCTTAAGTTTAACACAGTTGGACCCAACCGTCACACCAAGGGGAATTCGGTGTCGATTGATGTAATGTTACCTAGCAAAGGCAAGCCCGAAGGGAATGGGATCTCAACTGTCCCCGCCATATTACTTTAATGCTTAGTTCGCCGTAGTTCAGTCTACGGCCTCTGTGTCAGAATACATAAAAGAAGAAGGATTTTTGACGCAATTTTGTATGCTCCACGACATGGGACCATGAGGGTCAAAGTTTTGCAGGTGCCTCGGCTCATGACGAATGCATTGGCCAGGGCAGTTCTACTCTCCATGACCTAACACGAAATGTTAGGGTCTTGTCAATTTTGTTGGGACGTGATGTCTTCACCCACAGACCGATGATAGTATATGAGCTCGAAGAAAGGCCCCTGAATTCGGCCAAAATGTTGAGTCAGTACCCCGGTGAGACCCACTTAGTCCCGGAGTGCCGAGGTGCAGTGGTGATCATCGTACTTAGCTGGAAGCATTATCTCAACAACATGAAGTCTGGGACTTGGCGAGATAAGATTCCATTGTATCCCTCTACGTTGTCGCTGAATTACTTCTTCGGGGATGGGAAGTTTCTTCTGAGTTAACGACAAAGTTACAGTCACCAATAGCATCATAACGAGCACCATGACCCGCACCTAGAAAGAATTTCCGAAGGAGTCATCGGGTATGAATTTGGCGAATGGTGTCCAAAACGCCGATAACATCCCCGTCGATGCGAAATCATAGTCCTCGGAGTCATTAAGCCACTGCGTAGTCTTAATTCCCTGCGTTTTTGGTGAAACTGTTAGGTCTCGTGAAATGACCTTAGCTTCTCGAAGCCTTTTCTCGATAATGGTCCTAGCGCGGTCAAATAACTTATACGCCGCATCGGCAGAGACCTAAGACTTTCGCATCTTATTTAGAGCTAGCAGGCAGAGCCCCAAGTTATTCTTTGCCAGTTAGATAGATGATAAGTTCGATGATATCATTTCAAGCAGGTGGACTAGGATTGGCAAGCCAATGGTGTGTATGTAAATAAACTGTTATTGGGATAGTGCCTAGAGGTGTCTGGGTATGCACGCAATCGTGTGGGAGAACTTTATCAGATCTTCCGCTATTATATAATTAACGGCGTATGTTGCATAAGCAGCTGCAGTCTGAAGCTTATTATTTGCAAATATTTTCTAAGAATCCTTCTCCTCTGCAGGAACTCTATGCGGTGTTTTGTGGAAGAATGGCCGATAAAGAGCTATGATAACTGCCCTGCAATTGTTTAGCCTATGGCTTTTTGCAATCCCCTAAAACCTACTAAGCATGAAGCCGAAATTGACATAAATGAGATGTTAGCACTGGACTCTGGTCATTGCATTTGCTACTTGGTCCCGTACTGATTGTGCTTTTCTGCGTGACTCCCTGGATCTGGCGTCTACAAAGTGTCTTGGAGGCACTGTCTCAACCAGTAGCCTCTCTCAAGCTATGGGCAATCGTCACGCCAGCGTGAACGTTTTCGGCTGTAGGGTAGGTAGAACCGTTCCAGCTCTCACCCACACTGATTTAGGCTGATTTGTGTGGTGTTTTGTGAAAAATGCGTCTCTGCGCCAACTTTTCGTACCCTGCATATACTGGTGTGATTACTAAAGGCATATGTAGCGGCGAGTGACCTATGGCAGTCTTGTGCCACTTAAAGAGACTACCCCGAATGGCAGTTTGGCCCAAATTACTACCGGCCTTATAGTTAGGCTTAAGTTTAAATATATCCTTATTTTATATTCCTTTTTATAATATTATAAAATTATAAGAAAATAATTATTATATATTAATAAATAATAAATAATAATTAATATAATAAGTTAATTTAATAATCTTAAATTATTAAGTATAGCGTTTTAATATTAAGAAAGATGTATCTCTTATTAAATATATTATAGGCTAACGTACACGATAAGCTTGCCGATCAGACAAGCATACCGATCAGTTCCACTTTTCACCTTAAAGACAACTTTTTAAATAATTCTAAAAAATCCAAATTAAGCTTAAAATAACTAAAACTTTATTAATAGATACATAAGTCTTAAAATAAGCTTTATTTATTTTCTTTAGATTTTTTAAAAAATTCTATATAGCTATAAACCTTAAAGTATATTTACACTGTAAAATACACTGTATTTTAAGGTTTTCTATATAAAATAAAATAATTAAAATTCTTTTAAAAATCCTTCTTTATATAAATAACTATACCATTTTGAAAAATATTTTTTATAGATTTTTAGCTTTTTTATTTAAGGTTTAAAATACTATAGGGTAAGCTACTTTTAGCTGTACAGTATACTGATCGGCATGCTTGTCTGATCGGCAAGCTTATCGTGTACGTTAAATATAATTAAATAATACTATAAGTAAGAATATTAAGAAGTAGTTTAAATATATTAATTTAAATAAAAAGCATAGTAATTAAGACTTTTAGGATATATTAAGGCAGGTAAAAAAAGCTATTAATAAGTATAACTATAAGATAATATATCCTAAGGAGGAAACAGGTCTATTAAAGATATAAAAAGCTATAAAGGAACTAAGAGGCCACGCGCTGGCTCGATTTAATCCTAAACTGGTGTTTCCCAACATTAAAGAGATTATGGCTATAAGAGACCAGGCTGTAAAGAATATACTAAAGCTCATAAACGCGCAGCTCCTAAATTATATTAAAAAAAGCAAAAAAGTCATCTAACAGATAAAGAGCAGTTTTTCTCTAAGTTTACCAAAGTAAATTAAATTTAAAGCTATTTTCATGGTGCAACAATTAAATGTTGCCGACCATGCATTTCGGATATGATACTACGATGGGTGTGCGGACTCGGGGGTGTACCATGTGATGGTTAATTACGTTAGAGAGTGACAGCATTGAGAATTAAAAAAGTATCGGTGGCGGCGTATAAAATCCTATCCCGCTCTTTATTTCATGACGTGAGACTGGCATGATCTCGATCTGACCGACGTCCCCATCACCTTTCCCTCTCCTTCCCATTCGCCGATCGCTCGCTCCTCATGACCAAGCCCGCATATCGTATTCCACCTTAATAGAAGACTCAAACCACGGCCTGCGGACCGTCGCCCAGCCCGTTAATATCGATTCTATACATGTTGCAGAAGAGGAAAAAAGGGACTGTGCGCAGACGGGATGAAGTGGAGGAGGCAGAGTGGGAGACTAACAAAGCAAGCTGCTCTTCGTGGCTTACCTGATGCCCCTCCGCGGAACCTAGAAGAAAACAGAGCGCCCTTTAACCCCCGAGATGGATGGAATACATCATTTGGCGGAGATCGTCCGAAGGGTGAAAGCACAAGGCTTGGGCTGAGCAAGTCGAACGGCAGTAGGGTGTCATCAGCTCGTGTTGAATGTGACGGTCCAACTTGATAGCTAGAAGAAAACGGCCTTTCAGTATATTATATTTAACTATATAAGGACCTCGATGTCCCGCCTAGAAATCGAACCAATTATTCATCACCACTCAAGCATATAAGAAGTCTACAACACACTCTCACTCAATCTTTCTTTCCCAACTCTTCTTTAACGAAATCCACCAACCATCATCATGAAGTTCGCCGCTACAATCATTGCTGTAATGGCCACCTTCGCTGATGCCGAGGCTGCTTCCAACGGCAACCTGGTTGGCTGCCAACCCGGAACCTACCGGTGCGCTGGCACCACCGGCTGGGAGGTGTGCAACACCCGCGCCGTGTTTGTTGTAAGTCATCCATTCAACACCCAAGAAACTTGACACATCAAACTGCCCCAAAAAGAGATATCTAACAAAACAACTCTACACAGAACGGCGGAACTTGCCCTCCCGATACCGTTTGCAAGTTTTTTAAACCTAGCAAGAGCCCCTACTGCGTCCCCCCCAAATTCGAATTCCCCTCGACGTAAAGTCATTCACTGGCCATCTTATACACGAGGGGGCTGCGAACTTTCATTCTTTCTCTGCAGCTTCCACTCTCACGGAGCCCTTTCTTCCAGGCAAGGATCCTTTTCTGCTTCTTTACCACTCGTTCACTCTAAGTTTTAATCCTCACTTTTGATAGTCATGTGGTAGATGCATTATGGAGCAGTTGATACGACGGAGGCAGGGAGAGGTTTTACGGGTACATGAGTTACGGTCCTTATTTACATTGTTTTACCATTTTATGAATCTCAAGGCTTAGGGATGCCACAATATTTAGATAGGTAGCATGAACAGACGTTGCAATCTACCGCTAATACCCCAGCAATCTTGGTCTCACATGGCAATGAGAATAGTGAAACTAACAGTAAGCTAACATATTCATTCTGATCGGCACTTGATTAAAAGAGCCCCTCTAAAGGTGGCTGTGTTCGACCAATAATCCCTGATAGCTTGACAGACATTTGAGGGAAGCCGTCACCACATGTAAGCAAGAGCACGGCTAAAAGAAGATGGTATGAAAGAGGCAGTAGAAGCCTATGGTTTGAACTCGTCTCTCCAGGAGTACGTTTATACCAGGTCCTAATCTAATCCATAGAGTTAAACAAAACGCCAACAATGACCCAGAGAAATGCAGTATGCCTAGTGATTAATCATCTAACATTCGCCCTTCCAGATCATGCTAACCCACTCAGACATCAGAGAGGTCAAAGGTCCGTCTCTGTATTGCTCAAAATCAGCGCCGCTGGAGGTGAAGCCAGCAAAGCTGAGAGCTAGAATGATCCATGGTTGTGTGAAATCAAACAACACAAAGAGTCAGTGTCCGGATCGCCCTTCTCATGAAAGGAAATCTTGCCTTGAACACAGTTGGGCTGATCACTCGGCAGTTTCCGTCTTCACCGAGATGGTCCTTGGTAGTATAGCCAGCTGTGAGAACAGATTTTTTCTCAATAGTTGGAGGCTCAAGACAAGATTGTTCGGTCTCTTCGGTGTCCTCAACAGCAACGGCTGGTTTAGGGAACAGTTGCTGAGGAAGATTCAAGAAACAGATGTCAAGATCATGCTCCTCAAAAATGATGCCACCACTGTTCAGAATATCAATGACCTTGGCAGCGGCCATATACAGTGCATCTTCGATTATCGGAACCCACTCAGAAAGCGATTAATGGTATAAATACTGCCACGAGTAAAAGGCCCCTTGAAGATATCGAATCGGATGCCACCAGTGTTTGTAATGGCAAGTCTAGGTTTATCCTCTCTGCCTTTGACGTATGATGATTTCCGGGAAACCCCATCAGTCACGGCAGGTAGGTATAGGCATATGGAATTTGTATGGTCTACATACATTACCTTTTTTTTTTTTTTTTGCGCAATGTTGACGTCGTATTCATGCTATAAAAGTGAATGACCCTGCCGTGCCCCCGAAGTTGTGGGGGTTTATAGAGGTAGGACGTCACTAAGATGCAATATGAAGCAGCTCACGTAAGATTTAAAAGCCATCCATTTATGTGAAGAAGTAACTTGACATTCACTGTTGGCTAAGGTTTCGTATTCATGTTGCATATATAAACGATGTTACGGTGGCTTAAAGATGGTTTAGGGAGCCAACAAATACGAATCACACTAGAATGGCTGCAAGGCCATTATACAATCATATTTCTCCTGACTCATATTTATACTCCCCTAAGGCGGTTTTGCATATTGGTTCAGACGCAGATGTTCTTAGTTACTATGAGAAGAGCTTACGCGCGTAACTTCCTGAGAAAAGACACAAGAGCATTCTAGACTGGTTTTAGCATGATGTAACTATAAGAACGACAGAAGGGAGGCGTAGAAAAGATGTTTGATGTTTGCTAAAACAAGCACTTTTTAGGTGGTTTTTTGCATTACTGAAACTTGAAAAGCCCCCTTCAACCTCCGCACACCACAGCTTTACAGATTAAATGGGTCCGACCAAATTACCTTCTCCTGTATTAATGCCCAAAACTCGCCGCGTTCGGCTTCCGGACTAATCACAGACTTTAGATTTCTACCCTGTTTAGGTGCTTATATAGTAATATTGAGGCTTGGGATGACGGGTTGTTCGGAGAAAAAAGGTTTTCTCTTTTTGAATACATTTCTCAAGCGCGACCCGGAGAATGCGGCGACCCGGCCAAGGTAGCGCTCTATAGTAATTTATATGGCAAGGTACAAAAGGCAGGGTTGCTGATATAACAGGCGACCCGTCCAGGGGCACTCATACCCGCACAACCGGCTGTGCGTTTAGTATCACGTGTTTTTCGCACAACCGGTTATGCGGATAAGGCTGAATAGCTAACTTTAGATTAAATGCATAACCATTATTCAATAATAACACCATTTTCAATCGAAATAGCCTATTAGAGGTATTTTTTATCTTTATAACTGCTTATTACTTTATATCTTATACTATTAATATACTATTTGGCCTTAATCTATTATAAATAACCTAGAGGTAATATAACCTTTTATCTTATAATATTATATAAGAATAGTTAGCTTAAGAATAGTTAGTTATTTATAATATTATAAATAAAAAGAAAGTTTCTTTATATTAGAGGGATTATTAATACTAATATATAGAAGGCCTCTTTACTATAATAGCAGTATAATTAACTTAATAGTATATAACCTCTTCTTTTTAACTTAAATTAATAAAGAGAGATACTATATATAAGATATTTATTATTATGCCTTTAGTTATATTATATAAATAATTCTTTTATTACTCTTAATTTATATAAGAAGTATTTAATATAATAGTAATTTAATTAGTAAATAAATATATAAATTAAGAGCTAAATTCTTTATTTTCTTTTCTTAATACTTTATTTTCCTTTAAGATATTAAATAATTTAATAATTTATAAGTCTTTAAGCTTATATAGTTTCTATCTCTTTAATAATAGCTCTTAATAATAATAATAATAATAACTTTAAGATCTTTAAGGATAATACTTAAACTATTCTTTATACTATTCCTTTAAACTAAAATAACTAATTTATCCTATAGCCTGCCCTTACTATAAATAACTTAAGGACTGGCTAAAGGGTATATAAGGCAGTTAGCTTCTTCCCCCCTATCCCTAGTCTTGTTCTTTATAGCTAAGAGAATCTAGAAGTATAACAGCCAATATATAACATATTTAATACTAATAGTTAGATAGCCTAAAATGCTCCCCTAGAAGCTAATATAAATATAAGTCTCTTAATACCAGTATAGCTATATATAGCATATAATACTAGCTTTATTCTTATTAAGGCTTTAGTAACTATAGTAATATAGAACTAGGGATATAGCATTAAGGGAAACTAGTATACTAGCTAGCTTTATAATGCAGTTAACTAATAGTTAGCTTAACTAGTCCCTAATACTATGCCTTTCTAGATAGCTTAAATACTATAATAGTAAGATATAATATATTAAGCAGGGCCTTTAATCCTTATTATAATATAGCCTATACCTATAGTTAAAATAACTATATATATACTAACTTTATAGATAGCCTAGTAAAATAGTATATATATTAATTTAGTTAATTTATAGGGGTATATTATATAGACTTAGATAGGCAGATAGTAAGGGGAATTAAGGATATTTAGGGTTACTTTCTTATATATATTTAGTAATATATATACTAATTTAAATCTCTTGCTATATTAATATTATCTACTTTATTAAAGTTATAATCTACTTAAAGAGAAATATATAATTCCTTTACTTAATATATTTATTTATATATATATAATTTAATTCTCTATATCTAACTTTATACTATCTTCTTACTTACTAATAATATTAAAATCTAGCAAATTAAGGTATTAAGATATATATTAATTAATTTAGCTTTTTTTTTTTAATTTAATAATATATATATTATCCTACTTAGGCATAAATAGCTAGTTATAAGTATAGGTATTTTAACTAAGATAATTAATTTATAAAGATTAATAATTTTATATACTTTAACTTTACTAACTCTTAATTATTATAAATACTATAAAATAAAAAGAGGTACTTTAATTATAAAGAGCTACTATTAAGTAATAATAATTATATTATTAAATTTATTAAAATTCGCTTTATTTATATATATCTCCTAATTAACTATTATCCTTTTATATTTTATTTAGCATTAGGCTGCTTAACTACTTAATTATCTTGCCAGGAGAATTAAATTGCCTCCTTACTATAGCTATAATAATATATAACTTACAGGTCCTTGCCAGGATATATAGCTAAGGCCTTCTGCTCCTAAAAGCTATATTTTTAGTTAATTAGTATTATTATTAGATTTATTATTATTATTAAGCTAGCTATATATCTCCTCTAATATCTAATTTCTTAATTTAAAGCTATTATAAAGCTTAATAAAGGGCCCTATTTACTCTAACCTCTAGCACTACTAATACCTAACTACATTATACTTTAAAGGCAGTCTAATAGCTTTTTTAAAAGTATAATTAGTAAGAGAGGTATTAAGGGGCTACTAGTTAAACCACGCCTTATAAGATTCCTTATACTTTATATATACTTAATATATAGGCTCTTAAAGGTAGTAGTAAGTTAGGGTTAGGGTTATCTATAGTATTAAGGCTATAATAATAATAAGAGATATAAACCTGCTTTATATATTTATAATTATAACTTCTTTTATAATAAAATCTTATTATAACGGTTGTGGCAAGCATTCCAGGGTAAGAGGTCTAAGCTTCGTTAGTAGGGGCCAGATAGATGTCTACGGTGACAAGGTATAAAAGGGTAATATCCCTTTAGGACTAAAGACTTTCCTTATGCTTTTTAAGAGGCTTCTTTAGACTTAATTCTTATTCTTTTTTTTTTCTTTATATTTAATACCATTAAACTAATTATTTAATTCTCTATCTTATAATAAAGACCCTATCTTAATTAAACCTAACTAGCAGTCTACACTTAGCTTGCAGTTAAGAAGTATTAGAAGATATTATTTTATACAGTCTTTTCTTTATTATTGCTCTTTACCTTTAAATTAGTCCCTAAAACCTAAAAAATCTACTTCATTAATACAGTCAGTCTCTAAAAGGACTTTAAAACAACCTAATTATTCGAAGAGGAGGCACTTCTATACTGCCTAAACTATAGATTGCAATAATTAAAGAAAAAGGAAATATACTAGATAAAGAACAGGCAAGAGGCCAAGATAAATAACAAAACCGCTTACAGAAGCAACAGGAGGCAATAGATCCCTTAATTACTAAGCCAAGAGCGGCAAAACTAAATAGCTTATATATACAAAGAGCAATATTAGAATTGCAAAGCCGGCATTATCTTATAATAATTCCCTATACTAGGGCAGCGCTAGAATCTGCTATATAAAGAAATCTAGCCTTAACCTAGCAGGAGAATGCCGAGATTGCATTATGCATTATAGACTATAATAGACCTAGCATAGCCTAGGATTAACTAAACTCAAAAACTAGCATTAGGGCGCTTACTAAGCTACTTAAGTATAGATTACTTAAAAAGGTTACTTCTATAATAACTAAACCTGCTAATACCTTAGTAAAATAATCCAAAATCTTATAGAATTAACTAATTAGTTAGATTTTAAAGACTTTAGTATAAGATATTCTTATATTTATTATATTCTAGACTATTATAAGGAACCTAGTAGTTATAATAACGGCCGGCATAATTATCCTAATAAAGATAGATAAAAGGGATACCTATGGCTCCCTGTAATCATTCCCCTATCTAGAAAAGACCCTACTAAAACACCTTATACTAATTAATTAATTAATACTTACTATAATAAGGTCTACTAATACTCCCTTATCCTCTAATAATATAAAGACTGCATTTACTAAGCCAGTAACCTAGTTAAACCGACCTTAGGAAGTAGTAATAGCCCTAGCTATAACAGCTAGCCAGCTCCAGGATCTTATTATAGCTATCCGTAAGCATAAGCCCTATACTATAGTTAACTAAATAACTCTATATATAGCTATCTTTAATAGTAAGGATATCTTAAAATATCTTTATCTCTTTAAATACTATATAGATAATACTAATATGCCTAAGGGGAAACGCGCCATAATGCTAGAGATATGCACTATTCTGACTCTTATAGAAGATATCCGTTAAGCCTATAAAGGGTATAACTAGGAGGAAGCTAAGAAAAACCTTAAGGAAATCTTTATTACTAAAGATAATACTACCTCTAACAGCCCTAAAGCCAGGCTTAAGAGGCTTAACTAGGAATGACTTCTTAAGGACTACCCTTAAATAATTAAATAGTTAACCTAATACTAGTTTAAGTTCAGAAAGCTAGATACTAACTACAAAGAGCAGACTACTTAGTTAGAAAACGTTCTTAATACTATC